TGGGGCTCGTTAGACACTCCTTGAGGCGTCCTCGGGGCCGAAGGAAGTTTCCTTGGGGGTTTTGAAGGAAATTCCCGCTGCCATTCCACCTATCCTTGGGGTGGTCTCCCAACGATGATCCTTTCGGCCGTCGCTGGCCATTTTCATAATATTATAGTCAGCCGCGGGGGGGGCAATGCCTTGGTCCATTTGGTGATGTCCGTCTTGCTACAGTGTGGTCCAGCTGCCAAAGACGGGAAATTTTGAAAGGCGCTGACGACCGGGGAAAAAAAAAACCCTTAAAAAGCAATGGACCTCCCCGTTCGAAAATCAAATTTCAAATCCGGTGCTGGACATCACGACGGTGACGCGGGGCAGGTGGTGTCCATATCTGCGACGGTGGAAACGGGTATATGCAGCGGCGCAGTGGAGTCCTCGTACATCGTCATGAATTTGTGAGCGCCCACGAAGGTCCATCGCCATCGCCTCTGCATGCAGCCGCGCCTATGTGTTGAGTCAAGCACACATGGGGAACGTCGTCAGGGACTTGGCGCTGAGGTTACCGTGGTCATGGCGAGTTGGTAGGCTGTTGTATTTTCGTGGTTCATGAGCATTGCAACACACGTGCGGATGGAGGGCGACAGTGACGACAGGCGTGCGAAGTTGACGACGATCGAGAAGACGACCGTGGCAGCGGTCGTGACGGCCGTGCTCTTTCATTGTCAGCAGGAGAGGGCATTGGGCAGAACGAGAGCGCAGATCCGCGCGCAGAGGAGGAAGACGCTTCATCAATTCCTGGTCGAAGGGCTGGATACCGTGGCCATCACCGAGGCTGCAGTTCAGGTTTGCTGCACCATGGGTTGCAGTGTTCTTCCACGAGCGACGCCGAGGTGGTGGATGAAAAGGAGGACAGGGGGGCCGTGGGAAGATCTCAGGCAATGCGATGATGCGACGGAGGAGTACTTCCGGGAGAAGCAGCGTATGTCCGCCATGCACCCTGCCGAGGATGCGGACGTGGAAGAAGACGACAAGGACAAGCAAAAGGATGACCAGTAGCAGCAGCGGCAGCCTTCGAAAGACGTCGGCCATGAAAGGCAAGTGGGGAAGGGCAGTCGCTAGACGACAACGGTACACCTCTAGCAAACGCCGACGAAGAGGGCTGCAAACGACAGACTGCAGCATTGGACAAACGTCTTGTAATGTTTTTCGTCGCGGAATACAGTGGACAATCGGAGCAAGGGGGGTTGACTGAAGTATTCAAATTTGCCAACCGTTCGGCCCCTTTCTGTTTGGCGGCAGGCACTGCGAGGGAGAACAATGGTCGACGACGTCCGCGGGGGCCGGCCGGCCACCATTGGTTACCGTTGGCGTAAGGTTCCTGGAAGCCGAACGTTGAAGACCCAAGATGTCCGTGCACTGCCCGGTAGGAACTCCAATGGACCAGCCGACGAAAATTTATTGCCAACAACGGGAATGCCACCAAATGGCTGTAGCCCGAGGACGCCCCGAGGATTCCCCAAGGAAATGTTTTCACTTTTTTTTTTCGTTTTTATCCCCGAGGATAGGTGGAACAAAATTTTCCTCGGGGGACTTACGTGCCCGAGGAGTGTCTAACAAGCCCCTCTTGCTTCTTTTCCATTTTGGGGAGCATCAGTCCGGTTCTTTTTCCACCAGAGGGTCAGAGAATTACATCAATTGTACGCACTTATGCATCATCCCGTTGGTCGGAGTATCCCTGGACAGTACTGATTGCTCTATTATATAGAGGATTGACTGCCAGGTTGCCTTTCTTCTCGAAACTCCTTTCAGGCTGAGGGCGGGTGTCAGATCTTAGTGGTTGCCTAGAATCTAGAGAAGAAATTGGTGTCTCCAACGGTTCGGCGACCACAGAGAGGCAAAACCCTCCCCTCCCCATCTCTCTACTACAGGCTAGGGCCCACACCCTTGTCATCCTGTCTCCCCTCTACAGATAGAAGCCAGGCCCGCACCCTCGTTACCCAGTCTCGCCCCTAAAGGTTGAAGCCCTCACTGGCCTTTCTGGCTACGTATACCCTAAACCCTAGGCTTCTGCTCAGATGTGCGTACCCTGAAAGCAGGGTTCCTACTACTCCTAGTTGTCTCTCCCTGATGCCTGAGCACAGCTGCTGAGGGCTTAAGGTGCTTTGGCTGAGGCGCCTTGTGACATCCCCACCTGGTTGCCTGGGTTGCGGCTCTGAGGCCCCCTGGGGGACCCCGAGGTGCTCCACCGACAGGTTCCTGGCGGACCCATTCGTCGTGTGTTTTCCACACAGCGAGCCCACTGTGTGTAACCCCCCACAATTCTAGCCCAGGTTACTCGGTCCAAGTGTGAGTGGGCCTCCAAGGCCTGTGATGTGCTGAGTTGCGATCGAACCTCCTCCCCGTTGTCCTGGTCGACCTCCAGTGCTTCTCTGGTTGTCCACTTGAGCCTGAGGGCACCGGCGGTTATGGTTCCCAGCTTACCCCTCCCCAGAACTCACTGTCTGAAGTTGTCCGTGATCTTCTGTGCCTTGGTTGGATCTTTTCTGATCTGCTGCTTGTATTTTCGAAGCATAAACAGTATATTGAAATACAGTTGTGGCACTGTTGTACTCAATTCTGTTGGTAATACCGGAATGTAATCATTATCTACAACTAGGAAAATTTCCAGCAAAAAGATAAGTCCAATAATACCACCCACAGGCAAATAGCGTAATACATTTTCGTGAATTTCTGCTATCTTTATATTTAGCATCATAAGTTTCATAACCATAAATAAAAATAGAACAGCAATAGCTCCTGCATAAACAACTAAAAAAATGATAGCAAAAAAATCAAGACCTAAGTCCTGAACCAGTCCGAATAATACTCATCCTGCAGCATTTGAAGGAGGCCAGCCCAAGTTTCTTAGGGCGTTGAAGTTTGTGCGTTGATAGCCTCTTTGCATCTTCGTTTCCAGATTGCCGATAGTGTTAGGGGGGGAAACCTTCTGTAGAATGTTCGTTCACAGGTTTACAGGTCCGCTGGTGCGGAGAAGCCGGTTAGTAGGGCAAACGGGCTGGTAGGGAGTGGTGCCGCCGTTATGGAGTCCCAGAGGTTCTTGGCTTTAGCCCACAGTTGCTCGGCCTTCGGACAGGAGAGCAGACAGTGGACGATGTCCTCTGTTGCCCCCGAGTGGCCGAAAGTGCAGTGATCATGCATCACGCGTCTGTTAGCCCGCGAGCGATGCCTGCTCAACCAGCTGTTGACTGGAAGCACATAGTAGATGATGAGCCACTGCATGCTTCTTACGCTTGTGTTACGGATTGACGGCACGACTTGCCAAGGAATCATCGTCCGTCCCCCTAGTCCTCCCAGTACGTGCTTCTCCCATCTTCGGATCAGTGTGTTGGGAGTATTGGTGGCACGTTGTCTCTACCCCAGATGTGTGGAGTAGTCCAGTATGTTGGATCGACTCTCTACTCCAGTTGTGGTCGGGAGCTTCTAGGCTCACTCCGCGGGATCAAACTCCTCCTCTTGGATTGCCATGGTTGGTTCATAAATTATGTAGTCGTTGTCTTTGATGACCCGAACTTTCCTGAGGAGTTCGAGCTTGACTACCACCTGCATCCGAACTGTCCTGTCCATTCTGCTGACTGTCTGTTCGGGTTGCTGAATGTCATGTATTGTGAAAAGTCCTCATGCCTCCCCCGGCCCTGTCCTTCTGACGAAGGAGAGTGCCATGGTGGGGGGGGCCTCCCATGTCCATGTGGTCCACACCAGTCTTCCATGTGCGGCCTGTGCCAACAGGGCGGTCCAGTGTTGCGGAATGTTGCGCAGGAGGGCTGCTGCTAAGTTTCACTGCAGGTTGTGGCATCCCTTCAAATCTTGACTGAGTTCGTTGTGGGTGCTCCAGCAATTCTGCTCCACGTTCCAGATGTGGTGTATCTGCCATACCCCTTTCTCCAACCAGGTGGTCCATCGGCTTTCCCATGCAGTCACAGTGAGTCACTGTCCCGGGTCTTCCGATGGTGTCCTTGAGCCAGTGGTCGCAGAAGCAGGGTTGCCTCAAGACCTCCTCCCTGGTGGTGGGCTCACTTACCTTGGCTGGGAAGATCTCTCGCCAGTTGTCCAGCAGTTGCATGCAGTACTCCCGGTGGGTTGCTTCGTCTGGTTGAAGCTGCTGGTCCTGTTCCATTTTCGCTGTTCTGTGGGAAGCCCACGACTTGGACATTACCCAGAACAGTCCTTGAATGTTGGTGGGTGTGGAGGCTTTGGGCAGCTGTCTGATTCTATGCAATACCAGCGTGGTCCAAGGCAGGTTTTGCTGGGTGAGCAGTTTGACCACTCACTTCGTTTGCAGTGCTCTGGTCTGGGTTTCCGGATCAAGGATCCCGAGGTCTCCCTTCGACTGGGTCAAGTACTGCCATGCCACACCCTCTGGAACAGCTCCTTCTTGAACGTGAAGTCCATCATCACCCATCATCCGCTGTGTCCATCAGCCTGTGCTGTGCCCTGCAGACCCCAGCCTTGGAGTTGGCGTCCAGCAGGCCTCCTTGATCCACCTAAGCCTTCGCTGTAGTTCTCGTTGAATTGCTTGGTGCTCCGGTGCGTCTGTCAGATGAGGGTTTTTTTTTTTTTTTTTTTTTTTTTAATTTGGGCCATTTCTCGATTTATGCGTGTCATCCTTGCGCAGGGGGGCGTACAAGTCCAAGGCCCCTGCAAAATGATTCCACTTGTGTTGATTATTGAGGATTGTGTCCAGTCCATTAAGGTTCCAGGAAACTATATGAAGATCAGGAGTCTGTGTTGCGGCTCGTTGTGCCAGTAGCACAGTCGCTGCATCCATCCCGACTTATCTTGCATGACTTTCGCTCTCCCCGAGCCTTGCTTGAGATCTAGGTCCCCAAGAAGAAAGTTTCCTGCTTGTCCTTCAAGGCCTTAACCCTCTTTTCCCAGCTGGAATTGTCCGCAAGGAAGATCCTGTAGGTAGAAGCCAGCACCGCTCCCATGGCGGCCCTCTCTACTGCAACCCCAAATCGCAGTAGCCAATAGGGGCTAGCTTCTTTCACTTCCCACAGGTTCGATACCAGGCCCTCCGTAAGGCGTGCATGCTCTGGAAGGCTGACCATGAGCAGGCGGACTTCTGCTGAGTGGAGCTGGTCTGCCGAGTCTTCCCAGTCCTCTGTGTTGCCCTCTCTCTTGCCCAAGGTGAAGAGCGGGGTCATTGCATCTCTGAAAAGATCAAGTGTAGTATCTGTTCTGATCAGTTTAATATCTGATCCGTGGTCCATCGGACCATATTAAAAAAAAAAAAAAAAAAAAAAAAACTGACTGGTCAGAGTACCTTCTTCCAAGGTCTTGTTTGCGACTGTGACCAGTGTCCCAGACCTTTGCACGGCCACCTCCCACTCCCTGTACATCGCATTCCATCAGCAGGGCAGGATGACTGGCTTATCTTCCTTTTTTCTAGCATCCACCTTGGCTGCAGCTTCAATGGGTTTGGCTTGCTAATCTACAATCTTCTGTATCGAAACATGGCGGTCGGCGAAGACCTTCTTAGCTGTCGATGAGGCGACCTGTGCTTCCACAATGTTCTTACATCTGTGCAGAGATGAGCAACGGTTACCCAGACCCACACCCACCCGCACCCACCTCACCCACGAGGCATTGGGTCATGTGTGGGTCTTGATAAGCGGGCATGGCTGGGATGAGGGTGAGTCTAGGTGAGCCAGCCTGGGTGGGTGACGGGCGGGTCAATTTTAGGCTGGGGTCACCCGAAAGGGTGGGTGACAGGCGGGTGAGCGCTAGGCTTGGGTCATCCGACCCACAGACCCAGGACTAGGCTTGGGTCATCCGACCCACAGACCCAGGACAACCCATAAGAGCCCCCCCCTCTTTTCAGCTGCGGTCCACCTGTGGACTTCAAAAGTTGGAGGCCCAGGAAACGGAAAGTCTCTACCCTGGGGCCCCCTGGAAAAAAAAATTGTGGTCCTCGAAAAAAAAGAGCGACACCAATGGCACATCAAAATTTGGGATCCTCCTTGAAAAAATGTGCCGCGCTCTACCGGTGGCAGCATGGCCATGGCCCCAACAGTAAGAT